CAAGGTAATTGATAATTTATCTAAATTAAGTTTGATTATAAACTCTTACTGTAAAAACAATATAAAAGTTGCGCCCATTCCAAACCCAAAGATACTAAGACGACCCTGAAAGTATCACAATTAAAGTAACTAATTAATATATATCAATATTACCCACGCTTAATTATGCCAATAGTTAAAACACAAGATATTGAAAATTTGATAAAGGAAATGTTTTTAGTTTTCTTTACTAAGTTTATTTTCCTCATCGCCCTGTAAAGTTAAGGAAAATATAGTTGGAAACGTTTTAATATATCAAGCGTACTTAAAGTGGTCTTAAGTTAGCTTTGCACGTAAATGAGAGACCTAAATTACGCATATTAGTAATAACATAGAAATAAGTAAGCGCTAATCTGCTAAGTAGCTGGATGTGATCCGACATCGGATAAGACAAATGTCAAGATAGGTGCATATTAGAAAATATTATCCTTATGAAACATTTCCTATGCGCTTTAGAAGCAAAAGATAATACATAATACGATTCGTCGGATATCCAAAACTCCACGGAAATTTTCAATATTTTACTTAGGCGACTTCTTGTCATTTTTTTTATTGGTGGTATACACCAAAGCCTACACAAGCTAATAAGGATAGTTAAGTATGGCGGCGTTAATAACATTAAATGTCATAAGGCCTTTAACGCCTTGTAAATACGCAGGCAAAATGTTATTCAAGTCAAACGGCCAAATTTTTTAAAACTTAAGAATAGGAATTCGTTTTAAATTAAAATTATACCTACACTTTCTGTTTTATATATCAGTTTGTGAGTGTTTTCTTTTTTTTGAGTTAATACAAGTACACAAAACACCGGCCTCCGCTGCACCGCTGCACAACATGTTGCATAAAGTGAATAAACTCTAATCGGTTGCCGAAACGTGTACGATAAATGTTAACTACACGTCTTTCCGGTACAGATAACAAGCAAACTAACTAGTAGAATCGTTCAAAAAAGAAACCATTTTCAAATAAGAAATTGTATATCAAGACAGTTTTATTTAACAGGAGACAATGAAGATAAACAGAAAAAATATTCATTTTTACTTCCACACTAACAAATTATTAGAACCTGTTCGGCTCAAACACATCTCTGTTACGGTACAGAGCTAACAATTCCAAAACAAACTGATATTTAATGCCGATATAATGTGTTTTATTTCTAGATTTGAACAAAATAAAATCTGTCGTATATATGCAATAGCATCGGCCGGGATCGCATAATCAAATGAAACAAGGGATATTTTTTTGTTGAAAACATAAACTTTATTTTGACCAAATAACTTCATAAGTTCCGCTAAATGCGCAATCACATAGCTTATAGTTTAACTGTATTCTATTTACAATGTTGGAACCAGTTCGATTCGAGTGTAGGTGCATGTGGAACAAAAAAACGTCGGAGCTCAGCGATTATCGATCGTGTGGAGCGACGGTCGCCCGTGTAAAATAACAACAGAGAAAAAAACACGGAATGTCACAGAAAAACATAGCGAAGGGCAAGATAGTGCGACCGCTCGCGGTGCTACCAAACCGTGGGCCAATAAATTTAATGGTGCGCCGATAAAGGAGGCCGCCGCCGCCGCCGCCGCACCTGCCGGCGACGGTTTATCAACCGACGTTATGGCGGTGCGCAGAAATACCTACGACCGTCGTGCCCGGGGTGGTGCCGACCCCGGAGCCGTCCTACCCCCGGACGTCCACTCGCCCACAAAGCTCGGCCCACAATGCAACGAAACACTCGCGGCCGCATCAAACTATCCTTTAAAGTTCACGTTTCATATTTTTATATAAATCTATAATCGCTATACTCATTACTTTGTACATATTTACAACGCTATCGTACGGGCGGCACCCGAGCGGCACCCGAGCGGCACCCGAGCGGCACCCGAGCGGCACCCGAGCGACACCCGAGCGACACCCGAGCGTCAGTCACGTTACAAGTCACAAAACATAAACCCCGACTGTCGTCTAACGCGCGACTGGATCTCTCGATAGTCACAAACAAACATCACTCGAGACTCTCACATTGTATTGTATTTATTATATATGATTTATACAATTCTATATTCATTATATTATACACAAATTATTTCATACACATTGTGTAGTACATAACAAAATGAAATCATGACAAACTTTGAAATTAGTAATGTATATGTAACTTTAAACAAAGCCTCAGTTTAAAAAAAACAAACCCATATTTTCAATATAAAATGAATCATATATATACCGATTCATTAGACACGTTATTAATAAATCACCATTACAATGATCGCATTTGAAATCGTTTATAAATACTTGTGTATTATTTCCAATAGAGTCTTTTATATTCGTTAACTTCAATGCAGATTTATCGAAATGACTTTGAAAACAAATGTACCTTACATAATATTTACATCAGGTTCCAATAATGTACAGCAATATGTTGGTAAATAAATAATAATATATTGTATCTACTTAATTTATATATCAGTCCGGTGCTACTTCCGACGGAGCCTGCTGACGCAACTAAGCGGTACATGTACACATATTCAGTTTTGTTCTAAATTGAGCAAATTCGTTTATGCAAATGTTGCAGGCCGCTACATAATGTTTCCCTCCGAAGCACTTTAACAAACTACAACACAGTTTTACAGATTTTATTGATTTATTAACTTTTCAGAAAGCGCGCGATCGATCCCTGATACCTCTTAATTATTTGACGTGTTACTAATACGTTTATGAATGTAACAAAAACCTTTTTTTGCTCGTCCTCTGAGCAAAAACCGACCGCGACAGTCCTTACAATGCTCATTAGCAAACCACAAAAAATATCAATACCTAGTATAAGTGTATGAATATCTATCTATGACTTGTAATTATTTATCCTGCCTATGTATGTCAGCTTTGCTATAAAATAGGTTTTATTAAAGAATAATGTGTAAATTATAACAAACAATTATAACTTTTGATGTTATTTACGTGGAATTTTGAAATGGAAATTATTACTACACAGTATTTTCAAAAAGATTCAGGAATGAAGGGTGAATCGTTTGTTTGCGAGTATATTTACGTATCTATGAATGTATTTGTGTACGTGTGCTATTGAAGATGCGTTGCCCAACCGCTGTGGCTGCCGCGTACGCGCACGAGTTCGACTCAAGGTTCTTGCGTCAGGTGTGGTACACACACTCGCCGGAGGTTTCACTTCGATTGTCGCTCCATTAGTCTGTTGGAATGTCATTTGACGTATCACGAGAGGTTTTTGCGCGAACGCACCGTAACTCCTTTTTAATTTTTTTTGTGCTCGTAACTATTGACAAGAGAAAGCGGACACAGCGATCGTTAACGGAAAGGTCTATAGTTTTTTTTATTCATTAATTATAAAAATAATTGTCACTGTTCAATTACAGGTTCAGCGTTTAATGACATATCACATATTGAAACGCTGCTCCGAACATTGTAACAACTCTTATTCAAAACTGACATGTAAATTAAGCAACGAAAATTATATTTTCAGTATTCTATTAATCCACTTTCATTTTATTATTGATTTATTTCCGATAAATCTAAACCCAACCAAAATGCCTAAAGTTGCATTACATAACCAGTGTTGCTTTTTAATAAACTAAGAGTTGAGTTTTACACGCGCACACGCACACACGTACACTTTTCAATATCAACTTTTTCGTTACCAACGTAAAGAAAATATAACAAGCATTGTCATCGATGTCACATAACAACTTTTTACATCACTTTAAATGAATCAAATTTTTTTAAAGAGATCATTTGATAAAAAAAATGCTAACAACAGGTATATCAGAACCGAAAACTATTTATCCACAATAGCAACACAAAAACACGCGAACCGAACGTCGGGTTATTTCATATGAATTTGTTTTTTTCTTTGGTCGGGTCGCGCTCAGGTCCTACCTGCTATATGATAGAAAACAAATAATTACCCTTCACGAAATATAATTGTGGACAAAGTTAAAACGCCTAAGAGTTGTATTAAAACTATTGACACATTATTGTATTGTATTTGCAAAAAAAAATCAATTTTCGATTGACATAGACTTTTTACCGACATGAATGCATCATGGTTGTGTTGGAAGATATTAAAGAGCTATTTTGTATTAAACATAAGTTGCACATTTAACTTTGAAGGAACTAGACACTCGTCACTGCACAGTTTTGTCGTTTACACAAAATAAATGAAATATAATGTGTAGTTGTGGTCACGGGTACATAATGCTTGTCGTGTACATAGTTTGGCGGAGTGCTCGGTCAATTATTTATTCAACGGACTTTAGTCGGGAAATTTTCAATAAAAGTCATTTCCATATTTCAATTTCTATAAAGAGCTTTTTTAATATATATAGATATATATATCATTATATAGTTCGTAGGTACATTATTTTATATAGAAAAAATACCTATTTTTACAAGTTATTAAGTACCAAGATTGGCCACGAATACATACAAACGAAAAATAACAACAAAACAAGTAAAAAACAGGAATAAAACCATTTTGGCATCGTGTCTGCGTTGTTTTATAATAATTGTTTTAATAAATTATCGTATGTGTGGGTGTTTAGGTACGACGGCGGCGGGCCGGCCACTGGGGCCACTAGGGCCACTAGGCCGCCCGCCTCTGCCGATACACTCAACATAACATTGCACCTAGTAGTTACTCACTCGCTGTCCTTTACAAAACGAACCGAACGCCCGATTCATATTTTTTACTCGCGTCCACGTAACTAATCGTAAATTTACAGTAATAGCAACAATTTATATTAAATCCACACCACAATGACTCCCCAATGACGGGTAGCCATTTATGAACATCGTTAATTCATAATATCTATAAATAAATTCGATGAAATCGTCCTTTACAAAACAAACTGAATACGCTAGACGCGCCTCGCGGCGCGGTCGAGCCGCTCGCGGTCCGACCGCTACGTGTGAACTGTACTGGGCCTACTTACCGACGAGGCGTAGCTCGGCCACGCGGCGAGGCGCCCAGCGACGCCGGCTCTTCCTCCGATTAAGCTCTTATTTATCAATTAGACTATCTAGCAAAACGTCATCGGCGTACACTGAACCGCGGCGCTTCGATAAGTATAAACGATTACTGGCTTCGATCTTAACATTACTCACATAATTATGACTTCACTGAAATGATAAAGAACAACTTAAACGTTAATATTGTCCATGTCGGGCACGCGGAACTATGTACAGGGCGTGCCGGAGAGCGGGTCCCGCGGGCGGGCGCTAGTGCGACTCCGCGTAGTAGGGCCGAGGCGGCGCCCACGGGGCAAACTGTTAGTGCGCGGCGAGCGTGTGCGCGCCCTGCGGCAGCGCGTGCTGCGGCGACAGCCCCGGCGGCGAGTGCGTCAGCGGCGACCCGTGCGCGTGCACCTCGCCGCCGTGCCCGTAGTGCGCGTGCGCCATGCCCTCCATCATCTCGCTGCCCAGCGTGTTCGGCGGCGTCATGCGCTTCTCTTTCTGCCGTCGGTTGCAAAACCACACGCGCACCACCTCCTTCTCCAGCTGCAGGCTGTCCGCCAGCGAGGTTATCTCCTGCGCCGACGGCTTGGGCTGTTTGTGGAAGTGCTGCTCCAGCGCGCCCTTCACCGACACTTCTATCGAGGTGCGCTTCTTCCGCTTGCGCCCCTGGGCGGCGATCTTATCGATGCTCGTCGGGCTGCCCGTCGTCGAGTCGGCTTCCTCTAGCCACTTCTGCAGCAGGGGCTTGAGTTTGCACATGTTCTTGAAGCTCAGCTGGAGCGCCTCGAATCTGCATATGGTCGTCTGCGAGAAGACGTTTCCGTACAGAGTTCCTAACGCGAGACCGACGTCGGCCTGCGTGAAGCCGAGCTTGATGCGGCGCTGCTTGAACTGTTTGGCGAACGCCTCGAGGTCGTCGCTGGTGGGCGTGTCCTCCTCGGGCTGGTCGCGCTCGAGCGCGTGGTGATGGTGCAGCGCGTGCGGCGAGGGCTGCACGTCGCGCAGCATGTGGTGCTGATGCATGGGCACCGGGTAGCCGCCGTGCAGCGTCACGGGCGAGCCGGCGCCGTAGTGCGGGCTGACCACGGGCGCGTGCCAGCCGTGCGAGTGCTGCAGGTGGCGGTGCTCGTGCGGCGCGGGCGGGGGCTTCACGTCGGGCTGGTGCGCGTGCGAGTGGTGCTGGTGCATCGCCCACGGGTCGGCGGGCGGCAGCGACGCCCACGGGTTGCCCAGCACGGGCGCGCCCGGGGACGGCGACCCGCCCTGCAGGTGGTGCTGATACTTCATGTCGGCGGGCTCCGCCGCGCTGCGCGGCGACGCAGCGTGGTACCCGCCGATGTTTCCGAGATCCATCTCGGCGGGCATGTACGTGGTCGCCGCCATGGCGCCGTACCTCAAATCCACGGTGGACGGCGTCTTGCCGGCTCGAAGGCTCTCGAGCCTTCAACTGGCGTACTCGTTCGCGAAAATAGCGCGTCAGTCGCGCGGCGCTGCGGTAGCGGCGAGGGCCACCTCACATCACCGTATACGACAGCGAGCGACATGCGCGTGCGTGCGCGACGGCAGCACGGAGCGGACTGTGGGGCGACGCGCCGCTGCGCGCGCCCGCAGCGAGGAGAGGGGCGGCCCCGCCCAATCGCCGCCCGCTAATGACGATGTAATTACCTCGCCCCGCCCCGCCCGCCCCGCTCGCCCCTCGCCCCGTGCTCGCCGTCCCTTTCCCCTGTTGTGTTTCGCTCGCTCGGAAAATTCAGCGTGTCGCGCCGCCGACGGCGACACCTGACGCTTCACTATTAACTGTTACTGTACTGTTCGGTACCGAACGGAGACATGTAGCTGGCTCCATACCACTGCCCCTGTACACACTGGAATTATTAAATTAATTGAACTTTACATTGACACTGGCCTCTTTTAGTTAATAAGTTATAGAGCGATTTTTTTTTTATTAAGAAAAACACTGTGCCTGCAAAATATGTCTGTTTAAGTTTCAATATGTTTTGAAGATTAATTTAAAGTTTTAATAGAGACCTATTTATGAACCGAATAAAATGTACACACCGAAGGGGGGAATTAAAATTGTATTGAATTGAATATTTACTATTTTTTTGCAATTATAAAATAAATATAGAGCCCTTATTCAAATTCCATGTTATTAAAATGTTATTAAAGAGAAGAAGGTGTAAAAATATACCTTTGTTGGATATATTTTACGAAAGACTACATAGGTATCTGTACTCAGTATTGAACCTAAGTTCAGTACGTTGACTGATAATAACAAGAGAATATTTCATTAAAATTAAACTTTTATTTATTTAAGTGTTGCTTCAAACTTTTCATAGTCAGCTACAACAATGGAAACACATAAATATTGTACTAATATTTTTACCTATATAAAATAATAATAAACAACATTGTAAACAGCGCAAAACTGGACGAGGCCTATATCGTTGTGGCTGATTAATTTTGTTTGATATTTGAGAAGACTCTTACGATGAAAAATTTTGAGGGAAATAGTAAAAACAACAGTTTCCATATAAAGTACTTCTAATTCTACCTGTAAAAAGTTAAAAATGCAATAGTTGTTCGAAATTCACCTATTCAACTAGTTTTCAATAATTATTTATAATTATTTTACACAACGACAACACATGATAGCATCTTGAAGCGAAAAAAGCGTTTAAAATAATGATAGAGTCAGAACTCTTCCAACTTAACTTAGTGGATCACCTATCATCTGATACAACAATATTATGTCAATGTAACACACACACGCACGTTAACGTCGCTCATAACACACATTGGAATCTACATCTTTATTTAAAATGTAAAGTTTAGCATAAGAACAATAAATATTTTTATTTACATAATTATTATGCTAAATCTTGAATAACATTGAACGGTAAAATTTCTACCTGCATATTTTTTTATTAATAATATTAAATAACAAGCAGACTTTAAAGCTCACGAAATAATTTATCACTAATATTATAATGGAGCACTTGCATATGTCGCATGGTATTGGGTGAGTGGTGGGACGCTCTCCCAAACCTACTAGCGCCATCTACTAGCGAGTAGGGGAACTGACTCAAGTTTTGGGCCACATAATGTTTGTTTTAGTAATTATTTGTATGAATTATGCATGTTGCTACATACAATATACACTTGAAACAGAACGGAGAATGATTTATGTATTAAAAATACTCTAATGATTATTTATAAATGATAGATATGATTTACACTCAATGCAAATATTGTACATAAAATACGTGTTGTGAACGCTAATATTTATTAAAGGCTATTAAGTAATAATGATTTATTGAATCATATTTGTTTATTGAATATTAATAATAGTTTAATACACAATCAAAAAGTTATTCATATATGTCAGGTATACGTAGGAATTAAAATCGGAGTATGTATTTATAATCACTATCCAGTACACTTTATTTCTTTACTAATTCTCAAACATAGGTCTTGTTTCCGCTGACCTGTTACAAAATTATTTCGGTGTGAGTTCTTCAATCACACGTCGAGTTCCAAAGACACTTCTTATGTTTTCTTATAAGTAATTGACTCTGCAAAAATCACTCTCTTCGAACATGTTAACTCTACAAGCGTTACACATTAAATAAATGTATATATTTTTCTTGATATTTCGGTTTCCTAATAATTACTAAATCGAAATGTTGCCGAAGGTGTTGCCGACAGCCTTACCATATTTTTTTATATATTATTACTGGCCTCTTTAAGGAGGCTTTTATACTTATTTTTAATATATATTTTTTTACCTTTCTGACTTTGTCAATGTTCGATTTGTCTTGTATTTCTTTACTAAAGATATCTTATTGTTAAACAGTCCATTGCGTTTCCTGTCGATTACATAAGGTGATGATATATTATAACAAAATTAAATCAACTTTGCAAACATTGTTGATTAAAAAAGAGGCAGGATAAGTTAGATACAATATTTATTTATTATCAGTTTATATTGGTACTATAAGATATCTGTAATATTAATAGTTTAAAAAATATTTTTATTTTACTCAAATAAATAAAAAACATGATATTAATCAAAGCGCCAATTCTTACAAAAATCTATGAAACATCAAACAATAAATTAGCATTACCTATTTATTGTAATTTTCTCTGAAATAACTTAAAATGTAACTTTCCGCAATTTAACAGAAATTTACGATTCAACATTCAACAACTTTGAAATTCAGAGATTTTGCTATTAAAAAAATATATATATAATTAGCATAATGAACAAAAAGTGACTGAACATCGAATAGGTTTTTGCATTACTAATTTTGTAGTAATTTACTGCCATCTAGTGGCGGGTAGTGAAATTACATAAGTCACCCTCGGGGGTTGCTGCAAGTAGCTTGAGATAATACGATCCTGTATAAGTAGTTCCATTCTATCTAGATGCCGTGAAAGAAACACACGAGTTATTCTACGTTTATTTAAAACAATAGTAATAATGATAGAAGTAAAGATTCGTCGTACAGTGCTAGATTGGTTTTTACAGTATTTCGTGAGCTGCATTCCGCGGGTCCCTGAGGGTCTATTAATTGCTCATCCGTATATAAACAAATCTTTTTCATGTAGTTGTCTTTAATCTCTCCCGTTCTAAAAAAGAGAAAAAAATCCTTTCCCGCATTGAGAGAGTTAACAGTAATACAAGTACTATAATTTATTATGCTTATTAATGTTTTATAATTACTAACAAATAGTAAAATTGCATTCCGTCACCAACACTGAGCTTACAGTCATATACTACGGGGATATTGATACGTTAACAATATTAAGCGAAAATTATTTAAACATAGCATTTCTCAAGATTCTTTTTAATCTTAAATTCATTTATTTTTTTATTCGAAACCAATGTTCCCAAACTTATCCCAAAATTTCATTTGATCATCGGGCTTATTCCATCATTCAATTCTATTAATGTTCTCACATAATTTATTTTATGACATTTCTTTTTAACCTTTAATCATCTAGTTTACTTTATCATCTAGTTTAGGCTAGTCACATACTGTAAAGAACATTTTTAATTACATTAATACAATTACATGTTAACATGATATTGTACTATAGCTTTTAAGGCTTTGTAAATATTTGTCATCATTTTTATTCTACCCTACTCAAAAGCAACCAAATCATTTGTTTGCTTTATATTTTATTCAATAAGCTTTTTTGAACCTGCAAAATTCTATAACTAGTAATAAATTTACACGTATATTTTTATGTTTTGAATATTTTTATAGGCACAACTATGAAATCGAACGTTAAGAAATCACCAACTAAGAAATCTCCTTTAAAGTCTGGCAATTCTTATACGAATACAAACAATATTTTAGAAATATTAAAAAAAAACTTTTGTATTGCCATTAGCACAGTGCCATCTGTCACTATAAAAGGTACATATATTTTCAACTTGGAAACACCTTTGTGTTTGATATTAATTCAATTCTAAATCATCTAGTTATGATTCATTAATATTAGTGGATCGATATTTTTAGATATCGCTGCTTTGGATAGCTGTATGATATATATTTTTTTATTTAATATTACGTGACTTTTGTCATTTGTCACTGTTTGTTGTTTACTAGCTATGCCCCGTGTGTGTGTGTGTGTGTGTGGATACTAAGTTACCCCTTACTGTTATATAGCTGTTATCAGCCAGTAAAAGTGTCGTGAAAATCGAACCTGCAGTTTCAGAGATAAGCCGGAACAAACAGACACACAGACTTTATACTTTAAACAGACCACCGATTTTTTTTATTTGTACATATTTATTGTTGTTACTGTGTGCCTTGTGTTGTGTCTAATGTACCGAGTAAGATCTATCTTTAATGACTTTTCAAATAGACAGTATAAATATATTAACCGATTTCAAAATCAATGAGATTATCAAATCAACTCAATGTTTGTATGTATATCTTTCCCGCAATGTCAAAAGAGGACCGATTTTGATGAATCTTTTGTTTAAAAGAGTATACACCCAAGAGCTATACAGATTAGATAAATTTTATACAGATTAGACTAGTAGTTTCTTTGTACATATTAAAAAATTCATAAGTCCACGCCTCGTTTCTTAATAATAGGAAAAATAACTGCAAAGGCGATAACCAAATTCAAGTAACCTCTTTCATTCGAAGTCGACCTGTCAAAAACATGACTAACTAGTCAACATAACATAAACTCGTCCTATATAAAGTTTGCGGTTATTAAGAATATCTTCATAGCTTAGTGCTAGCGCAGGTTCCACTCGTGGTGAGCGGGCACCAGACGCGTGTACATCCACCTTGTTATTATTCCACTTATGCTACGACACTGTACAGTTCTCACACCGCTATTAATAGACACGTGAGGTAGATACCTCGTTAGTTAGTTACATACAGACAGACAGACTGTACGCTACACTCTGCTTACACAAACAATCATACACATTAAAATACGAACTATTTTGAAAAGCTCAAAGAAGAAAAGACTAAACGTGAAGGAAATAAACTTTTCAAAATAGTAATTTATTTATTATTTAGTTATTCTTATTATTATCTCTACTTTTTAAT